CCTTAGCCGGTTGAGCTATAGGCGCCGAGCCACCTAGCTATTTTTTATTGCAATTGTCCTTGTTGTTTGACAGGCCCTGGCCAGATTTGAACCCACCAGCTCCAGTGTATGTGGCTGGCATCTTAGCCACTGAGCCATAGGTGCCTAGGCCAATCCCATTTTGTTAAAGTAATTTAATATTAAAGCCTGGGCAACATACCGAAACCCAGTCTCTTCAAAAAAATAAGAAGAAATACCCCCAGGACATGGCAGGGGGCTGTTATTCTACTCCAGAGAATCGCTTGAGTCCACCAGTTCCAGACTGCAATGAGCTAAGATTGTGCCATTGCATCCCGGCCTGGGTGACAGAGCAAGACTATGCCTCTAAAAAAAATAAACACACATTCACATCCAATGTACAGATGCACACACACACAATGTATATATGTGTATTATATAAATATGATGTGTGTGTATATTCTTACATATACAATGCATACATGTATGTATATACACACAGGTATTCTTGTGTTTATATAGGCATAAAACAGGCTGGAAGAAGAGTCCTAAAGATGCTAACAATGGATTTACGGAAATTATGGGCAGTTGATTTTTATCTGTTTTTAAAATTGTTTGACAAAGAACAGACTATTAGCATAATGGAAAATAAAGTTTTAATAATTTCAAAACAAAATGGAGGATTTTGCGTTTTGCCTGGTGATGGTATTTTGTGTCCATTCCCAGACAACTCTAGATCCCTCCCCCCACCCCCCCAAGCTGGGTCCTGGTCTTCCCAGAAGCAATGGCTTCGGAAGAGCTTCGAGCCAGGAGCTACGCCGCCAGGGGCCTGGGAATCAGAAAACATAGATAGGACCCCCCTGGGAATCAGAAAACATAGATAGGACTGCTCGCGGTCTCTGCCGAATGACCAGAAGATGACCTGGTTTGGGCACAATCTGGGTGTAGGGAGCTGGTTCTTGCGCTGTGGCCTTTCCTGCCTCCCTGCATTGCCACATAGCCCTCGCTGCAGTCTTAACTTGGCCTCCGGGGTGAAGGCAGGTGCCGCCCAAGACGCACAAGATCACCCATTCCTCATTTACCGCACCCCCCTTTCCCGCAGTGGCGTTGTTTTAACTCTTCTGAACTGGTTACAAAACCACACACCCACGAATACATAAATAATGGATTGGGAATGAGGGGTGATATTTTAAATAAATTCCCGCAAGGCCTGGCAAGACAACAGCAAATGCATTTCTGCTGTATCATATTTAACCGTTTGCATCCAGGAGGATGCGCAGCGGCTACCCAAATTCAAGGATTCCATCACCTTTCCCCGCATAGGGCTGGCAAGACTGGCATAGGGGGTTAAAAGGAGGAGAGATGATGTCAGCTATCCGAGACTGGGAAGATGGAGAAGGGACTGAAAAACGTCAGAATACACAGCGCCAGACAGGGTCTGCACTAGTCAGGTATCCACCTTCTCGCTGCCCAGGCTCCCGCCTCCAAGCTTGGCCCCTTTAAGAGCCAGCGCGCGCCCCCGCCCCGCGAGCGCCGACTTTCCCTAGCAACCGCCCCCGGGGAGGGGGAGGTCCTGGCAACGGCTCGCTGCCCTGGCGGGTCACGTGACGACCCGCAGCTGGAACGCGAACGCGCGCCCCGCCGCGCGCCCGCCCGCCGGGGCCTGTGCGCTGCGGCGCGTGCGCGAGCGGTGCCGCACCGGCCGCGGGAGCGGGGAGTATTATGGGCTGTGGGTGCCGCTGAGCAAGATGGAGCTGTCTGCAGTGGGCGAGCGGGTCTTCGCGGCCGAATCCATCATCAAACGGCGAATCCGAAAGGTAAGCCGCCGCCTGGGGCGGGCCGCCGTTCCCTGCAGCCTCTGCTGGGTCCCCGGGCCCTCGGGGTGAAGCGGTCCCGCTGGCCCGGCTCTTTCGCCACCCCCGTGCCACCGCCTCCTCGGGTCCCCGCATCCTCCCCACCCCCACTCTCTCTCTCTCTTTTTTTTTTTTCTGTTTTTCAGGGACGCATCGAGTACCTGGTGAAGTGGAAGGGGTGGGCGATCAAGTGAGTGTTGGGGGTCCGGAGCGTGGGGGAGGGGAGGCAGCGGGGCCCTGGGGCCCGCGGGAGGCAGGTTCGCGCTCTCGCACTGTGTCTTTGCTTATGGTTTGATTGCGTGCCTGTGTGACTGGGCAGGTACAGCACTTGGGAGCCCGAAGAGAACATTCTGGACTCGCGGCTCATCGCAGCCTTCGAGCAGAAGTGAGTTGGGGCAGCTGGCAGGGGCGGCGGGCCGAGCTGGGCTGGGGCGCCGCTCGGGGAAGAGGGAGCGCCGGGCTGGGCAGCCCGAAGTGGGGCCCGGTCGGGGGCTGTTTTTAACCTTTGGCGTTTCTGTTTTAACCTTTGGCAGGGAGAGGGAGCGTGAGCTGTACGGGCCCAAGAAGAGGGGACCCAAACCCAAAACTTTTCTCCTGAAGGTAACCTGGCCCTGCCCCAGCAGCCCCCTCTCGGGCCCCCAATCCCCGGCACAGCACGGGGCCTGGAAGGGAGGGACTGATTCGCGGCCGCCCTAGCGGGCGGGCCTTTTCAGAGGGGCCCCAGCTGGGCAGGGGTGGTTGTGAGCCCCCGACAAGGCCCTGGCAGCAGGCCGCGGCAGGCTTTGGCTTCGGCTTAGGCTTCAGCAAAAGGGGCCTGGGAATGGGGGTAATCCTCGCTGATGAAACTAGGGCCTGGGGGCGTCTACAGGGTTCAGGAAGGGGATGGCAGAGGCAGGTGGGGGGTGCTGGTGGAGGAAGGGATGTTTCTGCACGTGAGATAACTCATCTCCCCAAGCTTTTGAGCCATTAGGGCTGTGCTGGGAGTTGGTGGCCAGGGGAAGAGTGAGTGAGGTCCCACTTTGGTGCAGGGCACAGGGAGAAGATTTGGGGGGGATCACCTGCCTCCCTGGCCTCAGCTTTTCACGTTCTCCATGTCTCAGAATTTGTTCTGAGCATCTCTCTTCTTCACTTGGAGTTTGACCTTAAATCACTTCACTTTGAGTTTGTTACCCAGGATGAGCTACTGACTTAAGAGCTCTGAGCCTCAGTTTCCCCCCACTTCTGGTTATTTCTAGAGGTCGGGTATGGGGGATGTGAAAACATACTATATTAGCCTTGGCAAAAGAGGGAGGAACTTCCAGAGGAAGCCATTTTGAGGGATTTGGCTTTATATTTATTTTTGAAGAGGAAAAATAGTCTGGGAAAGGGAGGATAAGATGGCCCAAGGTGGCAGACCAGGGTGCAGGTGAGACTCACTGGGCTGCCTCCATATCCCTGTAATGCTAAAAGATGTCTCCAGGGCCAAGAGCTGGAGAATTTGTAGGAGGATTGTTTGGGGGGCACAGGCGGTACCGAACACAGAACTTAAGCATCTACAAATTGTCTAGAAGGCTCAAAGCCCAGGGAGGGTGGGTTGGGCCTGCCCAGCTCACTGCCCCCAACCCCACCCTGACTTACCACTCCTGCCCCTTATAAACTTGTGCTTTGTTTCGGACTAAAGCAGAAGTGAAAAAGCTGTTGGTTTCCAGAATTCCATATTTCTATAACCTCCATCCTGAATCAACAACACATCTTAGGGGATCCATGGAGTAACCTTAACCCTGATGATTCTGGGAGGGATGGGCGGAGCAGCTGGAAGGCTGATGGGCTGTGATAGTTTCTCAGTGCAGCTGGATCTCCCTCTAGCGGTGAAGCAAGTAATGACCACGAGCACTGATAACAAAATGCCTTTTTTTCTTGGTGGTTCTAGTTCTTATCTGGTTATGGCCTTACACAGTACTGAGCTCCCCACATGGATTATCTCTAATTCTCTCAACAGCCCCATGAAGTGAGGAGTATTATCCCTATTTCACAGATGAAACATATCAGGGCCCAAAGAGGGGAAGTGACTTACCTGAGGTCCCACCACCCAGCTTCCTACCTTCATCCAATCTTCTTTTCTTCACTTTTTTTTTTTTTTTTGGAGACAGAATCTCATTTTGTTGCGCTCAGTAGAGAGCCATGGCATTACAGTTCACAGCAACATCAAACTCTCGGGCTCAAGCGATCCTCTTGTCTAAGCCTTCCAAGTGGCTGGGACTACAGGTGCCCTCCACAATGCCCTACTATTTTTAGAGATGAGGTTTTGCTCTGGCTCAGGCTGCTCTGTGAGCTCAGGCAATCCATCCACCTCAGCCTCCCAAGTGCTAGGATTATAGGCATGAGGCACCATGTCCCACCTCCTTTTCTTCATCTTATCCCTCTAGGAATACATGTCAGGTTCAGGGGGAGGTGGACACACACAGGAAACAATGAAGGCTACAGAGCTGGTGGGGGAGGGGATAGAGAGGCAGACAGCAGGATTTTGCTCTGAATCTTAAGAAACAGCTTGAGACTGATGCAAATATTTGTAAGGGACTGTGGAGGTCAGCTTGGGCTGAGCCCCCTTGTTCTGTGACTCCCTGAAACTCAGTACATCAGAGTCAGCAGATTACACTCAGCACTTCTTTCTAGCACCTACTCTGAAGGGACTAGGAAGCCTGGAGGTAGGATCAGTGTCCCTCATTTCCACATGGGAAAACAGGCCCAAGAGAACAAATAACTTGCCCATAGACACAGAGTCAGTGGTATAGAGTCCAGGTGCTTTGGCTTTCCCGTGCTTTCTGTAGTATAGTGGTTCTCAACCTTCCTGATACCCTCTGCCTTTCCTAATACCCTTTAATGCAGTTCCTGTGGGTCATGACCCGCAGGTTGAGAACCATTGCTGTAGTACATGCCAGACCCCCAGCCAGGCCAGTCACCCACTTAGGGTATAGTAAGCATGTTGGCTGCAGTTATTTTTAATTCACCAGGCAGACCCAGGTCCCATCTTCAAAGAATTCTCAGTCTGAGGAGGAGGAGGAAGGCGTATCAGTCTCTTTTAAAAAATTAATGTAGAAATCATGAAGTAAGAAATGGTTCTCATAGAAAATTTGGGAAGCATATATTAGAAAAAGATTACTGAGTAAATTTACTATTAATTACTTCCGTGCCAGGCTCTGTGCTAAGCAGGTGCCATATTCTCTGTTCATCACAAGAACACCCGGAGTAGCTTCTGTTACGGTTGTGCAGATGGGAGGCTCAGGGAGGGCACTAAGCCAGGATTTCTTCCTGGGCCTGCCGTTTGCCCACATTTGCCACTCTGCCAGGGACTGTGGCTCACTGCTGGACTCAGGCATTAATACAGGGGACAGTAAGCTCAGACAGTTACAGAGAATAAATGCTAACCCCCAGAGGTCAGAGTGGGACTCCCATAAAGTGCAGGAGTGAATCTGCAAAACGCCCTACTTGATACACCAAGGAAAGCTGGGCTTTTCCCTCCTTTTATGAAAGGCTTTGAGGGGCCTAGTCCCTGGGGAGCTCAGCTGGCTCTGAAGCAGAGGGCATGGCAGCATCCATGGGCACAAGTGGGGCTTTCTGTGCTGCCACCTAGCAGTCAAAGAGATTGTTGCCCAAGCAGCCCCAGCCCAGGCTAGGAGGGCCATGTGGTGCCACAGTGTACTCTGATGGGTGTGGGGGCCACATTCAGTCCAGTCTTATCTGAGGGGTTAGGTGCTGGTTAAACACCCAGTGCTGCAGGGAGTGAGAGGTAGAGACTCCAGGTCTCACTGCGTCCTTCTTCTGCTCCCAGCATCTACCTGGATCAAGCTAACAAGCCTCCCTGCCTCACTAGAAGCCAGAATATCTATAAAGCACGGATCTATCCCCGCAGACTCCCCAGCCATTGCTTGTAGCCCCTCAGCTGTGTATCCTCTCTACTGCTGAGACTTTGTACTTAGGGCTCGCTGCCTCCACCATTTGACTGTCTTAGCAGGCAACCTCAGGACTGTCTTGGACATAGTCAGTGCACAGTAAGGACCAGAATTTTCTACTTAGGCTTGGGGACCCAGCATTGATGTTAGATCCTCTAAGACTGGGCTCTGTGTCCTATCTGTGCTCCTCCAGACTTGTTCTCCCTTCACTGCACCCACACCTGTCACTCTGCATTCTCACTACCTGTTGTCTTCCCGGAGGCCAAGTGTGTTCACAGCTGCAGACCTGAGCACCTGGCTCTGGCTTGTTCCTTTCTTAGTGAAGGACAATTTGTATGCCCCCATGAGCCTCCTGTCCTCTGTCCATGTGATGTCGTCTGAGGACAACAAGGGGGTTGGACTGGGACCTGGAGTCTCCTGATGGCCCTGCTATACCCTCTGTCTTCCATGAGGTAGCAGGTGAGCTGCAGAACCCTGGAATTTTAGGAGCGATTTAACACTTGGGAGGCCAAGATGGTGGTTTGCTCGAGCTCAGGAGTTCAAGACCAGTCTAAACAAGAGTAAGACCCTGTCTCTCAAAATAGTTGGGCAGGCACCTATAATCCCAGCTACTTGGGAGGCTGAGGCAAGAGGATCACTTGAGCCCAAGAGTTTGAGGTTGCTGTGAGCTATGATGCAACGGTACTCAGCCGAGGGTAACAAAGTGAGACTCTGTCTCCAAAAAAAAAAAAAAATACTTGGAAGGATGGTTGGGCCCAGGCAGAATCCCCTGCTGCCACAGACCTTCACAGAGGCTATAGAGTGGCAGCCCCACCTCTAGGCCCATCCCACCTAACCCATGTGTGACAGGCTGATTCCAACCTGGGCTTTGGGATCCATTAGCACCAATTCTCTGTGAGGTTCTCTGGGCACTGGACAGACAGATGAATCAGACCCAGGAGGGCAAGGACCAGGGACTGGGAGTGTGAGGAGGTACCAGGAGACTGAGAGACTGTCCAGAGGTGGTGGCCAGCTGGGGCAGGTCAGAGCTGTAGGTCAGCCTGTGCAGAGGCGCAAGATATGGAACAGTAGGGACTCTGCACATGGGTGGCCAGTGCTGGGACAGGGAAGACCCACCTTTCTCTTACCAAGAATGGTCCATGGAGGAGTTCTAGGCAGGGCTGGGAGCCTTCACAGAGCAGGGGCTGCTCAGGCACTTTTGGGCCCCTGCTAATGCCAGCCACCACCACCCCCTTTTTTTTTTTGAGACAGAGTTTCACTTGGTTGTCCCCTGTGGAGTGCTGTGGCATCTCATCTCACAGCAACCTTAAATTCTTAGGCTTAAGCGATTCTCTTACCTCAGCCTCCCAAGTAGGTGGGACTACAGGCACCTGCCACAATGCCTGGCCATTTATTGTTGCAGTTGTCATTGTTTAGCTGGCCCCAGCTGGGTTCAACACCCTTGGTGCATGGGGCTGGCGCTGTAAGCCCCGTGCTATGGGCACCGAGCCCAGTCTCCCAGTTATTGACACCTGTCCATATCAGCAAGGGCAGCCCCAGGGCCACATGTTTCTGGGCCACTGCTGCGCTAGTATTAGGTGTTAGCTAAAACACTGGGTTTTGGAGCTGGGCCTTGACAAAGGTCTTAACTCTGACCTCAGGCAAGTTGCTTTACTTCCTGAGCCTCTGTCCTTCCTCTCTAAATCAGGGCTGTGAGTACCACTGGTTCCCCTAAGTCCACTCAGGAGCATTTACGGAGAGACTGTACTTAGGGTGGCAGGTGCAGGGTTGCCCAGAGGAGGTAAGCAGGCAGCCCTGAGGTTCCACCGCCCCTCCCTCTGCCCACAGGCACGGGCTCAGGCAGAGGCCCTCCGTATCAGCGATGTGCATTTCCCTGTTAAGCCAAGTGCCAGTGCCTCCTCGCCCAAGCTGCACTCGAGTGCAGCCGTGCACCGACTCAAGAAGGACATCCGCCGCTGCCACCGCATGTCTCGGCGTCCCCTGCCCCGCCCAGACCCCCAGGGGGGCAGCCCTGGCCTGCGCCCACCCATCTCTCCGTTCTCCGAGACGGTGCGCATCATCAATCGCAAGGTGAAGCCTCGGGAGCCCAAGCGTAGCCGCATCATCCTGAACCTGAAAGTGATGGACAAGGGCACGGGAGGCGGGGGTGCCGGGCAGGGGGCGGGGGCACTGGCCCGCCCCAAAGTGCCTTCGAGGAACCGTGTCATCGGCAAGAGCAAGAAGTTCAGTGAGAGCATCCTGCGCACCCAGATCCGCCACATGAAGTTTGGCACCTTCGCCCTCTATAAGCCCCCACCTCCCCCTCTGTCTCCCCCACCTGCCAACAAGGCCGATGTCACTGCCTCCACGGGCCCGGGGCTGCTCCTGGCCACCCCTGCTGCCCCCTATGATGCCCACAGCTCCAGCTCCTCTGGCTGCCCTTCACCAATACCGCAGTCTTCCTCTGAGCCTGATGACGCACCCCCTAAGCTGCTTCCTGAGACCACAAGCCCATCTGTCCCCAGCTGGCGTGAGCCCGAGGTGCTTGACCTGTCCGTCCCTCCTGAGTCAGCAGCCACCAGCAAGCGGGTGCCCCCTGATGTCACTGCTGCCTCTGGCCAGGCACTTCCCCTGACCCCTGAGCCTGCCAGTGCCTCTTCCGAGCCTGAGGCTGGGGACTGGCGCCCAGAGATGTCACCCTGCTCCAATGTGGTCGTCACTGATGTCACCAGCAACCTTCTGACGGTCACTATCAAGGAATTCTGCAACCCTGAAGATTTTGAGAAGGTGGCTGCTGGGGTAGCAGGTCCTGCAGGAGGGGGTGGTAGCACTGGAGTGAGCAAGTGAAGGGGCTCCACAGTGGAGGGGGCTTGGGGGGGGCCTCCTGCCCGGCATCAAACTCTTGCTCCCCCCACCCTTGCCCCAGCCTTCTCCCCTGCCCCAACCCCCTGCTTTGCTTGTCCCATGGCTTGGTGTTGGCCCAGGAATGGGGCGGGGCAGTTGGAGCCCTGGAAAGCTGGGGGTGAGGGCAGCTCTGGGATGAGTTGGGCCTGGGTCAGGCAGGGTACCAAGAAGTGCTCCTTCTTGTCCCTTGGCACCCTCCCTGCCCACACATGGTGGGGCCTGCCAGGTGGTTTTGGAGAAGCCCCAGGACCTGGGGTTTACCTGTCCCTTCCCTGTCTCATCCTGTCTCTCCTCAGCTTGCTCCCTACCTTCGTGTACAGCATCTGACTTTTCGGTGCTAACCTGGCAGCTGCAGGGGTCCTTAGGAGACCCCTGCCCAGGGTGGGCACAGTCCCTTTCCTTCCTGCAGATACCTGGGCAGGAGGATGTGGGGATGGCTCCCTGCCCATTTGTCAAAGCCCCTGACAGGTTGAGGATGAGACCAGACTCAGCCCCTCCCTGCATGGCAGGGAGGTCCTCAGAGGCTGGGGCGGAGGCTCAGGTCTCCTCTGCTTGCTGTAGGACCCTTCAGCTCCACCCTACCCTGTCACTTTCCTAACACCCCCCCCCCCATCTTGGCGGTGGGAGGACCTGGCAGAGAACTTGTCCTGCCACAGCCTCCCAGCATCTAAAGGCCCCTTCAGTTCTTGACCAAAGGTGCTGCGAGAACCTGCTGTGGAACTTGTGACGTGCGTGTGTGTCTGCCCGCGTGGCGTGTGGTACGTGGGTCCGTGTGTGCATTGGGTGCTAGGCCCCAGGCCAGCTACCCTTTCAGTTCCTCAGAACAGGGTCATTGAAGGCCTGGACCTTCCCTTGCCTCAGTGGGACTCCAGCCTGTAGAGTTTGCTATGGAAGTGCCAGGCCTGCCCTCTGAGGTGTGCTGGGGGCACCACACTCCCCTGCCCGCCTTGGGGGTGTCAGCCTGACCTGCGTCAGGCCTTCACTGCAGACGTGGCATGGTGGAGACTGAGGCAGACCCCACTCTAAGCTTCCCTTTGGGTGTTTGGGGAAGATGGGGAGACCTGGACACCATTCCCAGGGTGTCCTGACTTTCCAGCCTCCTCTCTTTTGCTTCTGACTGCTGAGGCTTTGTCACAGCCCAGCCTGCTCGAAGCAGGGGGAGTCTCTGGTGCCCTGGGCAGCTTCTTTCCCTCTGTTGCCAGGGAGGCAAGGTATCTATGCCAGGGCAGAGACCACGGCCCCAGAGTAGGGCTGGGCTTTGGGAGGGTAAGCAGGCCAAAGGGGCGTAACCACAGAGGGTCCTGTGTCCTTCAGGAGAGCGAGGGTGTTGGTTCCTGGAGCGGCACTTAGGGGCCTTGCCAGCCAGCCCTGGACCACTACCCAGGTCTTCGGCATGGGTGGTGTGTTCCTGAATGTGACTGGAGCTGGCTTTCTGGCATTTGCAGCCATTGGCACCTCTGCTCAGAGGCGTGGCACCTTTGGTCTTGAGGAATGGGAGGACACCTTTCTTCTAAATCTCCCTACCAGGAGCTGTAATCTGGCCCCTGGCCACGCCCCCCCCTTGCCCCAAGATGTAGATCAGGGGCCCTTGCAGGGCTGGAAGGGGCTGGCACTCCTGCATCCCCCCCCAATCTGCCCTGCGTGTTGGCTTTGTGGCCGTCCAAGTGCCAATTGGCTTTTCCCCCAAATAAGGGCTGGTATTTCTCCTCTGTCTTCAGAGGTGATTTCCCCCTGACCCCCTCCCCCAGGTGAGCAACCACCTGGGTGCCAGTTACAGGTGTTTTCAGAGACCATAGAAATGTGTTTTCCTGAGAGTTTGTGTCATTCGTGACTTTTTTTTGTAAAGAAGTTGTGTTTTCAGAGGTGATTTTATGACAGGAAAGTGAAAGAATTAGTTTTGCAAAAAAACAAAAACAAAAAAAGAGGAAAAAAAAAGAAAAAGACATAGAAAAAATATTGTGGGATTCCTAGGGATGAGGGAGGGGGGAAGAAAGAGATATTTAAAGAAAAATGAGAAACGCAGTGATTGCACAGGTGAGGTGGCAATGTTAGGAATGGGGCTGAGGCCTGGGCACAGCTGGCAGGTCCCCCTGAGGTCACAGGCACCATGGAGATCCCCCACCTTCCTGCTGGCCTGAGCTCAGACTGCCACACCCCATCCTCACTCAAAGGGAAGGATGGCAGCAGGTCCCAAGGGAGCCAGCTAGAAGCTACAAGGCCCAGGCAAAGGGAGATGATGGAGCCAAGATGGGGCTGAGGCTAGTGGGGTCCCACTGCTGCCAAGAGATAATTTTACCCAAGACAACTGGTGAGGAGGTGGCTTGATTTCTTTGCCCTCCTTTTCCAGCTTGTTAGGCCATCTGGTCCCTACCACAACCACCCCGTGGAGGGGGGCATCTCTCTTCCCATCTCCCCATAGACCGTGACATCCCTGCCCTTCCCTGGCCTGAAATGGGATGCAGGCTTCAAGAAAAAAGGCTATGGCCCTGGGAGAATCCTTGGCAGTGACTTTCACCAGGGGGTAGCTGGAGGGAAGGGAGTGTCCATCCTTTTGCACACCTGCAGGTTGCTACCCAGAGCCACAAGCCAGGTAGCCCGCCCCTGCCTCTAAGGAGGGCAGCTCCCTTGGGGGGCCTGAGTGAATGGGACCAAGGACAAGCACAGCTCTTCTTTCTTCCCTCTGTGGCATTCCTGTCTGCCCTCCCCCCACACACTTGCACCCATGGCCTCCTGTGGGCTCCTCTTCCAGCCCTTGCTGCTTTTCATTTGCCTAATTACCAAGCAGAAGTTGCAGTCTGGTTTGCTTTATTTTTGTATGTGAGATACCCCCCAAAGCCAGGTCTCCCTGTTCAGTATTGGTTGGGATATCATTCATCCTCCCGTAAGTGCATCCCTTCCCTTCCCGCGTGTCATAGGAAATGGGTGAGGTCTAGTTTCTCTGGTTTGAGATAGAAAGTCTGGACCCCCAATCACCCTTCTGACCTTCAGTTTGCCCATCTATGTAATGGGTGTATTGGGCAGCAAGATACCTTCCTATGTGCTGCTAATGTCCAGGCAGCTCCAAGTATCAGGTGAGGGTCAAGGTTGTTTGCACTGAGACCTCCAACTGCCCAGAGCCCCTCTTTAGTCTCAACCTGCAGAGGGATCAAGGTCCAAATGAGCCTCATCCTTCCTCTGATCTGGGGGGATGTGATGATGAAGTCCCCAACCTTGTTGTAAGGTGGACAGAGTGGGAGATTACCCCTTTTCAAGGAGGAAGAAACAAGTTCTGAGAGGCATAGCTGCTTCACCAGGGAAATGTGGCAGGGATGGGAGCTCAGTATGCCTTGACCTTTTGGGAAAAGCCCTTTAGAAGGTGGGGCCCTGGAGCCCACACATAACTGGCGGCTGGTTCCTGAGTCAGGCAAGTGCACCTGTCCAAAGCTGAAGGGTCAGCTGGGAGGAAGGAGGTGGGTTGCCAACAGGGCTCAGCCAATCACCAATGTTTCTGGACCCTCTGAAGACCTGAGAGGACGTACCCCTTTTCCCCTTCACTTTTCTGTGTTATGTGTGTTGTGGTTTTTGTTGTTGTTGTTTTTTGCACTTAGCCCATGCTGGACAGTGGAACCCCACCTGGTCAGTTCCATTTTGGGGCTCCTGTGCACTTGCCCAAGGCAGCCTTTTGGGGGGCTTATACGGTTTGAGGAATCACTTTTTTTAAAAGAAAAAAAGGAATATGTTGAAGATTTCTGGTTTTCTCTGTCTGCATCACTTCTCAGATTCAGAAAGCCCAGAATTAGGGGCTAAAACTCCAGGAAAGGGGCTCCCTGCCCCCTCTTTTACTGATAGTCACACCAAGGTGCAGAAATAGAGAGATGGTTGGGGGGGGGGGCAAGTGCTGGCCCCAGGCCTGTGTGGTCCCCTCACCCCCTGCAAGGCTTAAAGGAGTCAGCTCTCCACCCTAGCAGTGAGTGAGCACTTGCTGGACCAAGGGGGACCGATGGTCTAAGAGGGGAGCCGCTTGCAAGAGACCAAGTAAGCAGGAAGGGCTCATCTGGCTCCCCTTGCTGTTGGGCGGAGTGGAGAGAGGGACTTATTTTCGTTGGTTATAATTTAAAAACACAAAGGCCTAAAGAAATATGTATCTTATAATTTTTTTAATTTTTGAAAGGTTCATTTAATGAATTGTGCACGAATGAATTCTATATATATAAAGTATACATATATAGCTCTATATTTGGGGAGGGGCACTGTCTTTTTTTTTTTCTCTCTCATTTTTAAAATGAAGTGTTGTTGCCTTTGTCTGTGGTTCAACCATCCAGCTCCCAGCTGGCTAAACTTTGCCTCCAGTGGTTAAAGATGGGAAAATAGTGGGGTTGGCAGGAGACTGGAAATGGAGGTGCCACCCCGGTGTGGGGGGCAGGTCCCCCAGTGCACTCTGTCCCTCTCCCAGTGGAGAAGACTCTGATGTGGGGTGTAGGGGTGGTCTCTGCTCTGGATTCAGTGGTTCCTGGGCGGGGAGGGTGGGTCTGTGCCGATTTACTCTGTCTTGTACGTTTGTTCTGCTGCTCTTCAATATTGTATCGACGCCAGGAAAGGGGAGCAAAAAGGCTCTTTTACTCCCCAAATAAATTGTCACATTCCGAAGCTAAGGCCTAGTCCCTAGGATGGGATGTGTCTGTCTCTTTTCTTCTGGCTGTGACTGGTCTTTCAAAAGCATCGCCTTGTAGCAGGCAAGGAGGGAGAAGTGCCGTCCCTCCACTGGCCGGGGCCCAGCACCTGCCTCCTGGCTCCTTCAGCTGACAGCTCTCCATGAGCTGGGCTGATTAGCTGGGCCAGAGGTGCCAAGACCTTCCACTTTCAGACCCTTGGGAGTAACGGGTAGGTGGGTACATGGCAAGAGTGGGAGGGTTGGGTCCCCTGACTTCCCATCCCACCACAGTTGGAATCACAGCCCCCACAGAGAGGGAAGGGCCTGTAGGGTCATGGCCCCAGAGCCTGGGAGAGAGCAGGCTGGAGTTGGGGGTGCAGACTGTCCTTGCCAGTGGGTCCCACAATATAACATCTGGTGTTTCAACTGGGCATGGTGTGCTTTCCCTGATGAGATTTAGAACCAACACGTCTGAATAAAACCAGACCTATGTCCTCCATGAAAAAGCAAACTGAGAAAAAAATCACCCTTTTGCGATTGGGAGATGTCAAAGTTGTCTGGCTCCTTTAGAAAAAGCGAAAAGAATTTTCTCTTGAGAAATTGTAACTCTAGACCTTCCCTAACATCAATTTGAGATTTGGTTTTGTATTGTCCATGTGGTCTCAAGATTCCCTAGTCTAGAAATTAATGTAAAGAACATACCTCGGGTGGGTTACTCCAGAGAGTATGGGCCAGTAGCTCTGAAGGGCCCCGCCTATGATAAAGGACATGCAGGAATCTCACAAATAAAACCCTTGAAAATGTGAGCTCACACCCCAAAATTACAAAACACGAGAAACCATAGACAAATAGAGAAACAAGTAGCATATATAATCCCACACCCAACACATTATTTGCAAATGTGAAGAGTTCTAAAAATTACCATGTACATCTTGTAAAAGGCCTCGAGAAATTGGCATCACAGATCATATGTAATTAGGTTAAAAATCAATAGCAAACAATCAAAATAGTGCAGTAGAGGCATAAAGACAGACATATAGATGAATGGAATAAAATAGCCCAGATACAAACCCTCAAATAAATGCACAAAGGGTTTTTGACAAGGGTGCTAAGACCATTCAGTGGGGAAAGGACAGGCTTTCTGACAAAAGTTGCTGGGAAAAATGGATACCCACACACAAAAGAATGAATTTGGATCCTGACCTAGTACCATATACAAGAATTAACTGAAAATTGATCAAAGATGTCAATGTAAGAACTAAAACTAAAAACTTTTAGAATAAAATACAGGGCATGGCTTGGCACCTGTGGCTCAAGCAGCTAAGGTGCCAGCCACATACACCTGAACTGATGGGTTTGAATCCAGCCTGGGCCTGCCAAATGACAATGACAGCTGCAACCAAAAAAAAAACAAAAAATAGGTGGGCATTGTGGCAGGCACCTGTAGTCCCAGCTACTTGGGAGGCAGAGGCGGGAGAATTGCTTGAGCCCAGGAGTTGGAGGTTGCTGTGAGATATGATGTCACAGCATTATACCCAGGGTGACAGCTTGAGGCTCTGTCTCAAAAAAAAAAAAAAAAAATACAGGGCAAAAGCTCCTGTCACTGGGTTTGGCATTGGTTTCTTGGATATGACACCAAAGCATAAGCAACAAAAGAAAAAAATAGATAAATTTGGCTTCATGAAAATGTAAATATATTGGGCATTGAAAAATTATCAGCAGAGTAAAAGGGCAACCCACAGAATGGGAGGAAATATTTTGAAATTATATATCTGATAAGGAATTAATATTTAGAATACATAAAATTTCTAAAACTCAACAACAACAGGGAAAAAAAGCCTAATTCAAAAATAAGCAAAGGAGGCAGGAGTGGTGGCTCACACCTGCAATCCTAGCACTCTGGGAGGCTAAGGCGAATGGATTGCCTGGTTTGAGACCAGCCTGAGCAAGAGCAAGACCCTGTCCCTAAAAATAGCCGAGTGTTATGGCGGGTACCTGTAGTCCTAGCCACTTGGGAGGCTGAGGCAAGATGGTCGCTCAAGCCCAAGAATTTGCAATTGCTGTGAGCTATGATGCCTCAGCACTCCGTCTCAAAAAAAAAAAAAAATAGGCAAAGGATTTAATAGACATTCCTCCAAATAGGATATACAAATGGTTAATAGACACATCAGAAGATGCTCAACATAACTAATCATTAGGGAAATGCAAATAAAAACTATAGCAAGATATCAACTCATACCTATTAAGATGACTACTACAGGAAAAAAAGGAAAACAACACCAAAAAAAGTGTTGGCAAGGATGTGGAGAAATTGGAACACTTGTGCACTGTTGGTGGTAATATAAAATAGCATAGCTGCTGCGGAAAACAGTATGATGGTTCCTCAAAAAATTAAAAATAGAATCGCCATATGATCCAGCAATTCCACTTCTGGGTATATACACAAAAGAATTGAAAGTAGGGTCTCAAAGAGATATTTCTACACCCATGTTGATAGCAGCTTTATTCACAGTAGGTAAAACAGGAAGCAGCCCAAGTGTCCATTGATGAAATGAATGGAGAAGCCAAGTGGGGCATTCACAAACAATGGGACTATTATTCTACCGTAAAGAGGGAGGCAGATCTGATACCTGTTACAACAGCAATGAACCTTGAGGATGTTGTGCTAAGTGAAATCAGCCAGTCACAAAAACATAAACACTGTACAATTCCACTTATCCGAGATGTTTAGAGTGGCCAAAATCTCAGAGTGGTGCCAGGGCCTGGGGGAGAACGAATAGGGATCTAGGGTTTATGGCAGTGATTTCCAGCCAGTGTACTGTGGCACCCTAGTGTGCCATGAGAGCATCTTAGGTGTGCTGCAAAAAATTTTAAAGATCATTAATTATTTTTGAAAGATGTTCAAAGCACAGTAAGCATATTCTTTTTTCACTTTTTTGGGGGGTATCAATTTAAGTGTGCTGCAGAAGTTTAACTATAGGTTCAAGTGTGCCATGAGATGAAAAAAGGTTGAAAAACTCTGGTTTCTGGGGACAGAGAGTTTCAGTTTTACAAGATGAAAAGAGTTTTGGAGATGGTTGGTGGCAATGGCTCCACAACAACATGGACATACCCAGTGCCACGCCACTGCACACTTAAAATTCTTAAGATGATTTTATGTTATGTACAGTATGTTTTACTAGAATTTTTTAAAAATTGAAAACTTGAAAACACCAAATCAATAGCAAAAAGCTAAAAGCCAAAACTTTATTCATTTGGACAGCAACCCAGCTCTCTCATTCCTCTTAACCCTCTGAAATCTTGAGGACAATGAGATTGGAGGGCAGATGTGGGTGCCTAATGGCCACAGACTCACAGGGGTGCACATCCAATCCGAGTTGTGGCTGGATAGGAACAGGTCCCCCTCTGATCCCAGCAGTCCGGATAGGGCTTCATTAGAGCAAATTGATACCAAAGTCTTTTCTGTCTTTTCCAAAGGATGAGTGAGCTCAGAGCATGACAAAGACAGGAGCCTGCATTTAAATGATGGCCTCCAGCAAGTAGCCTTTATGAGCAAGTGGGCTTTGGAAACATCAGCAAGGGTGGGATGATGGCAATGGAACAAAGCCAGGTGGCAGGGATCCTTGGTCCTGTGACATAAAGACAAGCCCCCTGCCAACTTCTCCTGCCCATCGGGCCTCACAGCACACGCAACAGGCTCTTTCGGGGTAGATTTGGAGGTCCCTAGGGATTTATGGTTAAGTCTCAGCTACTCCCAGCTGTGAACAAAGAAATCAGATACAATTTGGAAAAGGCAAACGTGGACTCTGTGCCCCAACGGGACTCATTAAAATGATGATCACTTCACTGGCTCCCTTGGTGATCCCTGCCTGCATGCACGGCCTGGTTTCTGTGTATCCCAACGAAACAGGTGCCACTCTTGTCATCTCTAGCTTCCTGTGGGAGCTCATCCACTTGCCTGCCTTTCAAACTCAGGCACCACCAAAAGACCCTTGTCCAGGAGTCAGGTAGCGTGGTCTGAGGCTGCTCAGTCACTTCTCTCCAGGCCTTGGTGTGCCTACCTGTAATGGAGACCAGGATCCCCTACTTGGCAGGGTTATCTGGAAGGATTGAAGGAGGTGATAGGTAAAAGACACCTTCATCGGCTAAGCACCTGTGGCTCAAGTGGCTAAGGTGCCAGCCACATACACCAGAGCTGGCAGGTTCAAATCCAGCATGGGCCCGCCAAACAACAA